CACGTTTTCGTAGATTAAATTAGAATAATTACAAAAATCATTTTTAATTTGTTTGCTTTGAATCTAATTAAGCACAAGTGCACTCAATTAAATTTTATTTCTCGTGGGACGATACTCTAACTCACTAAATCTATTACTTGTCAATGATCCCATATGTTTACGAGTTTCACACGAACAAGTTTTCGACTCCGTTGTCGGGGAATAAGTTATTTAATTTGAGTTTATTAGCTATTTTTAGATTTGAAGTTTTTATTCCTTTTTCATTTTTCTTCTTTACTTTATTTGTTTTAGGTTATTCATTGAACTATCTATGTCTCTCGTTTCACTCTTTTCAGGAAACTATAGTTTATACAAAATTCTGACGAGATCGAGCTTTTTCCAATAGATTCCGAAATCAAAAGAACTTTCAGACAGAGAAGAAAAAAGCAGAGACAAGCAAGAGATATGGCAGAAAATCAACATCAGAATCAAGCTCAAAACCCTTTGCTACTATCTCAACCAATTCAGCTAAGGGCAGTAGCAAATCAAGGAGAAGCTTTAGTGAGGAATTATGTAAATCCTGTGCCAGCCCTTGTGCGATCGGCTATTATCTATCCATCTTTTGGACAGTCTAACTTCCATATTAGACCTGATGTCATCAACTTATTACAGAATCATCAAGATATCAGGTTCTCTGGGAGATCAACCGAAAAACCTCATGACCATATTCAGGCCTTCTTGATATTCTGCGATATGATCAGCCATGAAGGAATGTCTGCGGATGCCTTTCGATTGCGCCTATTTCCTCACACGTTAAAGGATGGCGCATGAGAATGGTTAAATTCTCTAATTCCAAGGAGCATTGTTTTATGGAACGATATGGTGTAGAAGTTCACAATGAAATTTTTTCTGCCATCTCGAGTCCATCATGTCCGAAATGAAGTCCATACTTTCAAGCAAAAGGACCTTGAGAGCTATCCAGAAGCATGGAAAAGATTCAAAGAGTATTTCAGGAAGTGCCCTACTCTGAATATTCCTAAAGAATAAAAAATATGCCTATTCTATTTAGG